TGAAATAATAAAAATATTTCTAAGAGTACCACATGTTAAATGATAAAATGCCTATCTAGTACACAACTTACAAACAAAGGAGAGTATACCTAGGTCAGTAGTAAGTAGTAGTAGTTGTATTATTTTGTTCATTGGTTGTAAATACCCAACAGAGAGTTAACTGTGACTTACACAATCTATTTCGTAGGTTAACAAAATGAATAAAAATAAAGTGTAATTTAATACAGAATTTTAACTTCCAACAATAAAAAGAAGAATATAGTAGTAAATATGTTACACTGTAGTACAAACAAAGTTAGTTGTATAAATTGCTAACAATAAGACAATATGTGAAATGATAAAATACTTATCCAGTATACAATTCACAAAGAGTTGTGTACAGAAACAATGCATATAATATGTATCTAAGAGCACAGTGAATAATTAAGCATGTAACAAATTTCAACCGTAGGTTAGACACTACTTTTTGTCATTGGATGTGAAATTATATCATTGGTACTTACAAATAAATGAGAGTAGCCCTATGTACTAAGTAGTAGTAGTAGTAGTGGTAGTAGTAGTAGTAGTATTGAGAACTGTGTAAGAAAACGTTAAGTGTTCTGTTTAGGTCAATATACCAATAGTAAAAGTTGATATATTAGAATAGTTAATCTAGATATTACAATAAGCTTGACCCAGTGTTTGATATGCAATTGAAACCTGAAACAGCAGTAACACAATTGAATGTCGTTGTACAATTCAATTTCTATACAATTATAATATGCCAGTATATAGTATAGTAGTATAGTAGTATAAGTAAGTCCAGAAACAATGTATATAATATGTATCTAAGAGCACAGTGAATAATGAAGCATGTAAGGAATTTAAACCGTAGGTTACATTACTCTTTGATAATTACATAGGTACTATGGAATAAAAGTAAACAAATGAAATTAAATTAGCACTGCAGACATTTTTGTCGAATGATAATTAAAAAGTAGGCTGCACTATCTAAAAAAACACTATATTAAGTAATTCCCATATTGTAAAATGTGTTGTATATCATTGTAATATCATAATGATATCACTTGATATCGTGTATTAAACAGTAGGTACTTTTTGTGACCTTATATGTATTATGTTGCAACAAAAACGTTGAATGTCATTGAGTTGAGTTATTAAATTAAGTTAGGTTGCTAACCATACACAGTAGGTACATTAAGCTCACGAGAGTACACAAAAGTATTAGTGACAAAGTGTAACTGTCACGGTTTACTTGAACATTATTTATTGAACATATTATGATTTCTACACTCACCAAAGACGGCACTGCCGTGTGCCGCAGACGTCGGCGTTGTGCATTTCCTGCAGTGTAGTCAACACCCGGAACGAAATGCCTCGAACACAGCTTCGATCTGACGGTCACAGGAAAACCGCTGTTCACCACAAATGCCATCCACTCATCACGACGCACGTCGATTGTTGGAAATCTAAAGTTGACATATTATTGATTTTATTACATTGCTATGCATCAACGTGATGTGTAAAATAATTGTAAATACCCATGTACTGAAACGCCATCAATGTTGTCCACGATTCCGCAGATGACGCAGCGTTTGACCATTTTGAATGGCCTATATTATAAGTATAATAATAAGTAAAGTAAAGACTAAATAACATGAAAAACTCGTTAGAATCGAATATTATAATGACGGACGACGGTGTCAGTTCGTTATCAGCGGTGATGGAAGACACTTGGCGACTCGTGTGTCATTTTTAGAAATAATAGGTACCACCGGCTTACGTGATGTACATACAAAATAGAAAAATACGAAAAATTACATAGGTACCCAGCTTTTTATTAACGCAAAATTCCAAGCGATAAAACACGTGGTAACTCGCCGAAATGGGCAACGGACTTACGCGTCTACACCTCTCACAGCTAATACGAATGCGGATACAAAAAACGTTATAGGTATTTAAAGTACATTTTGCGATGTACGAAAAAACACGAAACGCGCGGAAACGTGAAAACGGAAACGTGAAAACGTGGTGAAAATATGTTCGTTCATCTTAATTCTTTTATCTAATATTCTAAGGTGATGAATTATAGCATGAATTTATTTATTTATTTTTTTTTAGAGTTCATCTTACAGGGAAATCTTTGAGGAGAAATTGCGGACTGAAGATTTCGATGAAGAAATCATCAATTCGGTAACCTTCCGGCAGGGAGATGGTTTGGCTACCATCAAAAGTCAGTTTAATCCAGAAGAGAAGGCGACCGACTATTGGACAATAACACACTGTAAGTGTAAGAACATAAACAAAGTTCCATCAAAGGAGAGGTAAATACTAGACTTTGTTTTACTTTTTAATAAAAAAACTATTGCTTATAATAAAAAATAAATCAACTGTTTCTATTCACTGAATAATTAATTTATGTTACAGGTGGCGTCACTCTGAGGCATCTGTTAATATATCGACTTCAGATAAATCAAAAGACCAGACTTTAAATACAAGTTTGAATGAGACCATGCAGGTCATCTACGACGTGATTTTGAAGGATCCAGAACGTCGTACGATAAAAAGTAATTTAGCATTATGAGTGTAATATTCTAAAAAAATATTTTTTATTTAATAAATAAAACATTACATAAATATAAATGAATTTGTATTATATTACACTATTAAGTCCTGTAAAATCATGTCAGACATTGCGTTAAAATGAAATTGTAATATTTCGTACAAAAATGAAGTGTCGTCGTTTTGTAGATGAGAATAATAATTAAAATCATAGTTTTGTATATACTGGTTTGTGAATTCGTTCTCTGGCAACTGATGGGCAAACCTCGGACATCGTTTTTAATCAGTTCATAAGCTGCATCAAATGTTGCTTGAAAACTCTGTAGACGTTTCTGTTTTTCTGCGATATAAAGGTCCACACAATGCTGAAGTTGTTTAAGTCTACAGAAATCTATATGTGAGAGTGTAATATAATCATCATTTATATGTAAGGTTATTGAACTCTGCTTCACATTAATTGAATATGTGAAATTCTCGGTGATTCTTACACGTCTACACCTGGTATGTAAGTTGTTAGTAATTGAAGTGTAATTAGATTCAGACATAAGCGTACACCATTGCTCTAAATTTAATGTAATAATTTTTTTCGTTAACTTACACTCTAATAACACAATAATCGAAATTTGTTTGCTGATTAATAGGCCGACTGTAACACTCTTCTTACCAAATGGACGTATGTCAAATACCGATTTTGATACAATTACCGGTAGACCCATAACGAATTAATGTTCTTTTTTTAAATAACTAAAAAACCTTTCAAACTATAAACGTAATTATTTTTTTTAAAAATTGATATAAAGTTTTTTTTTTAATATTTAAAAAAATCTTTCAAACTATAAACGTAATTATTTTTTTAAATTTGATATAATATAACCAATGGGAGATATCCTTTGAACTGAAAGCATTTTTACTTTGTGAGCGTATTATATATTAAACCTAATAGATAAATAATAAAAAAAAAAAAAAAAAAAAAAAAAAAAAAATGCAAAAAAAATGTGAGCGTACAGTATAGTCGACTACTGCATGCAGTGGAGGGGAGAATTACATATTATACTTACCTGATACCTGAAAACATTTAAATTAACACTACACGCAGTAATCCACTAGACCACACGCTCACGAGATATTACATCAAATAATAACACATAAAAGTTGTTTTAAAAAAAATCAGCATTTATTTTTATTTACTATAACATGATTAGCATACATTTAAATTATTTCTACACAAACTAACCTCATTAGTCTATACGATCGTGAGATATTAAATCAAATATTAACACATATAATTTGTTGTTTTTTTTAAAAAATCAGCATTTAATTTTATTTAGTGTAACATATAATAAAAACATGATTAGTCAACAGTAAAAAAAAATCAACATTTTATTTTTATTTACTATAACATAATATAATAAAAACTTGATTAACAAACAGTATCGTATGATTCAGATTCACAACTGTGAATATGTTCGGTTTTACAGTATTTACTTAATACATTTTGAACATACTGATTACCCTTCATTAATAATACATATAAACATCTTGGACTGAATCTGCAATGTTCAATCCATGGGTCGTCCAGCCTTTCCCAGTTATGAAGAATAAGACCACAACAAAAGCATTCCACGACATCATCCACTCCTGAATATTTTAAGCCACATTCGGACAATGTATATTTATTTTGAGAAGTATTTAACGGGAATAATTTGAATGTTTTAAATCTTGATGCAAACGATGAAAATTTTGGATGAACCATGGTCAGATTATTTCGTATACGATAAACTAATGATTCAAAATCATTCGGACATTTTTGAAAATTCATTTTTGAAGAAATTAAATAACTTATACAATGTAATAAAACTTCAAGAAAATAAAGAAAAATGAGACACGACTTAAGTGAACGGCGGATCATTAGTAACTGAATATGAGAAAATGATCAGCTTATAACTAAAAATTGTATACATTTTTTTAGAAAAATACCGACATTCATTAATTATATCAATTGCAGTGCAACCAACATACATGTAAATGCGAATATAGTAATTATTATTTCATTTTAGTAATAAGGTTTGTTGAGAAAAAAAAACATTTAGTGTGTACACGGTAAATATTTGGACAAAACTGACTTTGAGTGTGCAAACTCTTCATAATTTACACGGTAAAATTATTGTATCCAAGGGGAACATCTTCCCTGGAACGGTGTGAAATTACCGTGTAAAAAGTGTGTAAATTCTTCATAATTTTTACACGGTAAAATGATTGTGTCCAAGGGGGACATCCTCGCTTGAACGTTGTGAAATTACCGTGGTGACACAAAAAAAAGACTGTGAACATACAAATCTATACTACTCCTACCACCTACATCGGCGACTGGACCAAGGATACCGGCTGGTAACAGACCGTCGGCCACAGGCGGCGCACCCCTGTCGAGGACGCCCAACATGCAGCCGTCATCAACGTGGCGGGGCACACCGGTGAGGCCGCGCGGGTCGGGGACAGACTGTCCCTTCCTCTGTTGCACTCTTCTTCGCCCCATCGTGAGTCGCCCCGCAACGAAGGGTACCAAACCATCGTCGCGAGCCCGGAGCTCTGGCGGCCGCGCGATCCGTCACCGGTTCCCAGCTATAGCTCCGCTTCGAGTGGCGCTGCGGCCGAAGATGATGCCATGCTGGATGTCGATCTGCCTAACCTCGGCGGCGATAGCGTCGACGGTGATGAGCAGATCCTCTCGACCGACGACACGACAGCCCCGAGGAGCTCCAGGTATCCATCGACTTGGCACACAGGAGCCTGGAGATGCTGTCGGGCCGGCAGCCGGTTGATTTATAATTTTATATAATTTAAATCTTTGCTGTTACTTCCATGACAGAGTGTATACAAAGTTGTATTGGAACTCTAAGCCAATTTGCCTGGTTAAATCTTTGATTTTAAGTACAGTATACTGTACTATTGATACAAACACTAGTGTGTGTACTAGACCTCACCTAAGTATATTGTAAACTTTTAATAAATAATACTATTTCTGTATAATATATCTTTCATTACCATATTAATAAAAACACCGATTCATTAAAAACAAGTTTTTTTTTTGTTTTTTAAATAAAACAATTCATCGTGTTCAATAACATTGACACGGAACAATGCGGTGGAACAAATGGTACGTCAAAACTTTCAACACTTGGCGAGAGTGATAATATTATAGAAGATCTACCAAGATTTCTTGCCAAAAAAAAAATATGTGGGCATATTCAAAAAGTAATTCTTAAGAACAGGGTTAAGGATGTTGCCGATTACATTAGATTAAAATACCAATCTATAATAAACGAGTCTGTTAAAATGTCTGATCCGAGAATAATAGATATTTGCAAAGAGGTATTTAAAACTAAAAATATCAAAAAACTAAGCCAGGACGTAGTAAAAGCATTGTCAGCGAGCAACTCAACGCTGTGTAAACTCATTAGAGGAACTAGAGAAAATAATATCATTGCAAACATAAACTGTTTAATACCTTACAAAAATGAGTTGGTACTACGTCCGCATCGAGCTGTAAATGAAATTTCTAGACTGAAAAAAATTACGAAAAGTAAAAAGAACATAATGCGTTTACTCCATAAGAGTGAAAGGTCTCATCAAATAAACGAAGAAATCTCTAAATCTGTAAATTGTGGTGAAGGCGTACATACATTTTTGCTGGTACACATCAGTGAGTCTAACGTTGACAACAATTTAGATGTCTGTGACAGAGTAGTGGAAATCGGTCAACACTCAAACATAAGTTGTAAGTCAAATAAACTAGGATTCCACGACAATGACGAAAAATTGACGGTCAACAATTCAGGTAAGAATCCTTATGAAAATGAAAACATAACAGTGTTGACAAGCTGCAATAGAGAGTCTGATACAATTGACACATCCTCAAATGAAATACTGAAAAGGGATGTTAGGAGAAAACTAGATTTTAAAGTATACTGTGACACAGAGTCAGAGACTACACAGTGTACAGTGATAAAGCAAAGAAATGAATCTTTTGAGATTGACGATGGTGTATGCAAACTTGATTGGACCTCTGACGATTTGAACAATAGTTTCCTTAGATGTGCTGAAATTCAAACGATTGAAGAGACAAATGACTCTTTGGTTGCTGACCGTTCTAATATTATCACTTCTACTCCAATTAGGTTATAAGTAGACATTTTCAGGCAACAGGCATTTACACATTCACCGCAAGCCGTTGATTTTAGTTATCATAAAAGTTATGTTTACGGTAATAATTATTCTCCTATGAAATCTACAGTGCTACCAAATGAGGCGGAGGTGATCGACGCTGTAACTCCAATAAAATTGCCTGGTACTATTGTCGCTTGCACCACTCCTGAGCAGATGCAAAAGTACTTCCCAAGAATTCTAAAATCATATTTCCTTTGACAATACGTGGTGATCTAGAAAATAAAAAATAAAAAAGATATAATTTTTCATACCTTAACACCATAGAGCTCAAACCATAGTACTCAAACCGTATCCCTATCCACCGGTAAAACAGGTCACAATCGATACCATGATACGGGACATGGAAGAACAGGGACTGGTGAACAAATCACATCCCCGTGGCCTGTGGGCAGCACCCATTGTCCTAGCAAAAAAAAAAGACGGTTGTATTATTTTGATTATAGGCGGCTCAATGATATCACTGAGTCCGACGCTTACCCAATGCCCGACCTCAATATGCTGATACGTCAGTTGAGAGGGGCAAAAGTGTTCAGCGTTCTTGTCTCTTGACCTGAAGTCGGGGTACTGGCAAGTACCACTTAAGCAAGACGCGAGAAAATACACGGCATTCCGGACGCGTCGGGGATTATTATACTAATTCCGAGTCCTTCATTTCGGCCTCAAAAACAGCCCCATGACCTTTATACGATTAATGAACGAAGTCTTGAGGGGGTACCTGGACGATATAGTGGTGTTTTCAAACACTACGGACGAACACCAGTGCCACTTAGACAAAGTTCTGGAACGCCAACAGAGACCCGGGCTGACATGCAACCCCGAAAAATGCAGATTCGGAGCAACCGAAATCTCATTTCTTGGACACCTAGTCACCTCCGAAGGAATAGACAAACAACCGGAGAAACTAGAGGGCATCATCAACTACCCCCACCAACAAAATTGAGGGACCTACGGAAGTTCCTGGGCGTTTGCAACTGGTACATCCAGTTTGTCGACAACTGCGAGGAAACCATAGCACCCCTAACAAATAGGCTCAAACAAGGGACTAAATGGTCGTGGACTGAAACCGAACAGGCGGCATTTACCAAAATAAAACGCGCCCAGTACGATTCGCTAAAACTGTCGACGCCAGATTACGGAAAACCGTTTTGTCTACAGACCGATGCTATCGAGATAGGAGCTGGTGCCGTCCTTTTCCAACGAAAGGTGGATAATCGCCTACGCAAGCAAAAAGTTTAGTGATACGCAAACATGGTACGTCGCGAGGGGTAGACGGTAACGGTAAAACGCGAGTGGATCGCGATAATCTGGGCAACCGACAAGTTTAGACCATACCTAGAAACCCGCCGTTTTGACCTATTCACGAAAACTCGGCACTCACATGGCTCCACCGAGCCAAAAACACATATTCCAAGTTAACCAGGTGGGCACTACAAAACCACGCTTGTGCCCGGCGTACAGATCGAGGCGCCGAACATGCTCTCCCGCAACCCAATCACCGGGCCGCCTGTAGACGAGGAACGACTAGTAGGAGTACCCACCGCACCACTCATCACCACTACTATACTCCGGCCCACGAGAGATCAGTACCGTCACGCGCATGCAGAATGACCGGCAGCGACGGTTCGGAGCCCAATTTTCCCCACTATGTTCCGGAATGCCGCAATCGTCGTAATAGCCGACCGACACGTTGGTTAAGTGGGAGATGCTCCGTGGGCCGGAGTATAGCTCACCGGATGACAATCTGTTCGCAACGACAGACCCAGCTAACACTACTAATGGGCCCACAATCACACACGCTCGTGACATGGCAGGCCAATGAGCTCAATACACGAGACATAGCGGACAACATGACAATGGACGACCCAACACACGATACCTTAAGTACTACGGATAAAAAAAATCAATACATTTTTACCGATGGTCTTCTGTGGATAAATTTGGGTGAACACACACCCGTAGTCATCCCAAAAGACAAAACGCAGAACGTGATCTGGACATACCACGATCACATACTCGCAAACCACCCGGGCTGGAAAGAAACGTAGTTTTTTGAATCTCGAGCACATGAACCGTTTCTGAATTTTACGTTTTACATGTTATATATTACACACGGAAATATCACAATTTTTATAATGTATAGAAATACGGAATAACTCGGGAAATAATTATAATATTCGAAAATATTCACGTCAATCGTCGTCGATAACGAAAAAGGAGATAAGCGAGCGGCGACGTGAAATAGCGAACTCGCTGGTAGTATTATTATTGGTCGTCATGGAAGAAACGCGGAGTGCTCCCCGCGCGGATCTTGTACGCGTTATTAGCGTTTCGAAGAGTCTCGCTAGAGACTCCTTTCTGTGCATAAGTAACACCGATAAGAAACAGCACCTTGACAACCGATAGCGAGACTATTATACATTAAGTTCCGTTTCGGCGCTCGGACCTCTCACTCGCACGCATTGGTTGAATGCAGAGTGCGAGAGAGACAGAGCTAAAAACTGCAGTTTTGTGAGTCTTTTTCTTTCGTCCGTCATAGCAACGTCATCCAACGCCGCGCCGTAGCAACCGCCACGCGCCGGCCGCTACCGAACCGCGAACCTCACCCACAACAACGGCTATTTACAGCTAGCTAGTTTTACGTTTGCAGAATTATTATTAATTATTATTTATTTTTATTATATTATAAAATATTTTTTACGTACTCGCGTTGTTGCGATACCGAGGTCTCATGCATTTACATTATTACATACGTTATTTTACGCGATTTATTGTTACAAAACAACAGCTACGTAAATATGTACCTATTATTACTATTTTAATACTATAAAAATAATTATTATTATTAAATAATTGTGTTATTAATATAAATTTATAATTAATAGTTATATATTATATAATTATAAACATTTATATTGTATTTCTATTTTTATAGAATTATTATTCACAAATAAAAATAATAATTAGAAAAAATGTAATCCATAAATATAATATAATATATAAACCTCAGTATATCACAGTAAAACGTGCTTCGGAAAAATAATTGAAATCCTCAAAAAAACTACTTCGGAGAAGTAAAAAAGGCTTTCTGTGCGTAAGTTGAAGAGATTGGGAGAACAGATAGAACTTTGGTGTTAATAAAGATGTGAAATCAATCTCAAAGTTCTGTGCCAAAAAGGGCCACGGTTGAAAAAATAGAATTTGGGGCTTAATAAATAAGTGAAATCAATACCCAAATTATGTGCCTCAACTTGAAAAAATATCTTATTCAAAAAAATTTCGAGATGTTCAACTGTACAAACATTAAAAAAAAATATTAGCACAGAACGGCGTACAATAATGATGAATTAATAAAATTAGCCATAAATTGTCGACTTGTTTACGAGTTAATCTGTTTGATTCGAATTTTTGTTGACAAACTGTAATTCACGCCGTTCTGTGCTAATATTTTTTTTTAATGTTTGTACAGTTGAACATCTCGAAATTTTTTTGAATAAGATATTTTTTTCAAGTTGAGGCACATAATTTGGGTATTGATTTCACTTCTTTATTAAGCCCTAAATTCTATTTTTTCAACCGTGGCCCTTTTTGGCACAGA